ATTTTCTTTTTCAATATTATGCTTTTCTATTATTATTTCATCTAATAAAATGGTTAAAAGATGAATTTAAAACAATAAAATCTTTCAATGTCGTTATGTCATTTATATAACAAACTCAAAAAGAATTATAATCAATATTCTCAATCATTGTTTTCATTTTTGTTTTTCGTCTTTCTCATGTATCGAATTGTGACTATTTATATAGAAATCAACCAATTGAATGTACTAGAATCAAAACGATCATTTGCCTTTTTAGTCTATTAAAAAATTTATAATTATATTCTAAATGTAAAAATAATTCTTCTAGAATAAAATCGTTGATCGATATTATCTCTTATATATATCTAGTTACTATTCAAAGTATAGTCTCTTTAACAAAAGTCTGTGCGTCTGACTGGTTTTTGAATAACTCGAGAATGCAAACAGCTAGAGACCTGCAGTTTTCACCAACCGAAAGAGAATGAGTTAGGACATCTTTCTCTCTGATAATGTCTCAGATGAAATTCTTTTAAAAGTGATCATCTTTGAAAAATATAGAAAATAATCCATGAAAGTGACATAGAATACACATGAAATTTCGATAATGACCTTTGATTTGGATAGAGGGAGTTCAGATCTATAGTTCAAAAGATAATAGACTTTCTTACGTTTCATTACATATTCATCGAAGTATCCAGCTGTTATGACAAAAAATGCAATAAACGTAGTAAAACATCAGTAAAATTCCCTATTATTTATGCTTGTAAATACATGATTTCATTTGGTCAATGTTAGAATGTAATTAGAGAGCCATTTGGGTTGCATATTGAACTGTAGATCTCAACTCCCTCTATCCAAATCAAAGATCATTATCAAAACTTGATGTGTATTCTATGTCACTCTCATGGATTATTTTCTATATTTTTCAAAGATGACCACTTTTAAAAGAATTTCGTCTGAGACGTTATCAGAGAGAAAGACACAGTCAGACGCAAGGACTTTTTAAATAGACTATAGATAAGACAATATTGAATAAATAATGCTTTATAAAATTGTTACTTCTAGATTGTTAAAATCTGCTTGTCAATGTCTAATAGTGGCGTACGCAGAGGGAGGGGGGGAAGGAGCGAGGGGTCCGGACCCCCCTTGAAGAAAAGTTCTCTGTGGAAGAGTACGGGCAAAAAAAGTACTACGGTAGAAATTTTTGAAAAATTCGATTACGAGCCCCCTTCTTGAGAAGTTGGGCTTCTTCCTTGGAAAATTTCTGCGTATGACACTGAAACCTAGAATGAAAATGAAATTCGTATAGATAATAAGATAAAAAATGGAGTTATTTAAATCGATAATATGAATAAATTTCAATATTCTTTTCTGAATAGTTGTTAATTATGATAAAAAGCAGAATATATATTGTTAAAAGACTAATCGTCTCGAATAGTTTATAATTGATTATAATTCGATGAAACCTATATAAATAAATGAATATAAATATTTAATAATAATAAATATATTTGTTCGAGTAAATCCTTTTCTATAATCTATCTTTTATTTAAATTTATATAAATATTTCAGTTTATTCTTGCTGGTATTTTTTTCAAATATTTAAACAAAAACTAATCTTATTAATTATTATTGTTGTTCGTTTAGATAAATCCATAAAATAATAAAGAATTTATTTAAAATAAATCGATCAATATTTGTTAATTAAGGTTATATGATAAAATCGAGTAAATATGAAAATAATATTTATTATATATAATTCGATTATTTTTATTCAAGAATAATCATTCCTCTAAATTATTATTTTTTCACTGATTTTCTTGGAAATAAATGATAATTATTAATCATTAATTATTATATATATCGACAATTTTTAATACTATTTTATTATGAAAAAGAAAAATATTTTAAATAAATTGATTTTTTTTTCAATAATGCAATATAACTCTTCTATTTTGATTTATTTGTTTAGAAATAATTTATTTTATTCAGAAAAATGTTGAGAATTTATGAAAAAATGACTTCTCTGCTTTTTTTTATATGAAAATATCTTTGAAAAAAAATGTTTTTATTAATGAAATTATATTGATATTGAAGATAATGATAGGAAATAATCATCTTTAACTATGAAATAAATCATTTAAAATAATATTTTATTCGATTGAATTATATATTATATATCTAACTTTAAATAAATAATTATTTTAATTATTATCTTCTAATAACTAACAAATATTTATTTATTGAAAACAATCGAAATAGATCTATATTATAGAAATAAATATTCATTTTTAAATAATCTTCATTTTATTATTAAATCAACTTATCACTAGCGATCTCTATTGGAAATTTTCAATCAAGAACAATAAATTCCGAATATATTTTCATAATATATTTAAGAATAAAAAAGAAAATATAATTCTAACATGTTGATTACTGATTTAAATATATTGATGCCATTCCGAGAGTAACTAGTTTACCTATATTTATAGATGAGAGCACAAGCTAAACAATTTTCCTCTTAAATAGATGTTTAGATAAACTTGCTCATAAGAGAAAGTCTCTCATTTGATTATAAATCAAATTTGAATTTTTTTAATGGTTGTAATAGAAGATAGAATCTGTTGATGGGAAATGATAAAAAAAAAGGTGCATTATCTATTAATAAAGTCTGACTGATAAAGAGTCTGAGAAGGATCCTATAATAAGATAATATTTTCTCTTGGATCTCGAATTGTTATTATTTATTATTTGTTTATTATAGAGGATATTATTTATCGAATAAATAATCGAATTTTATTTGGATATATTTTATTAATTGAATTTAAATTTATTATTTGTTAATGGTATTTTTGTTAAAATAGTTAATATAAATATATTTAATGGTATAGATAAATAATTGTTTGAACTAAATAATGATAAATAGATAATTTGTTTTATTTTAATTTCTAGTTGTTATTATTGTTAATCTATGTTTATTTAAATAAAACAATTCAATATAAATAAATAAATAAATAAACTAAGACAAATGAAATAATTCTCATTTAATATTATCTTAAATAAATTCTTTAAGGATAAATATATAATTATAAATGAAATTAATTTTATTTGAAATAAAAGTAAGTTATTTATTTCGAAATCATTTTACTTTTTTTATATTATATTAAATAAATCTGAGAATAATATTGTTTTTTTTATCATTTATTTAAATTATCTTTGAGAAAATATAATTATT